TCTGGTGCTCATATTTTCAATATAATTTTTTTTTTTTGTATCGGGGATCAGTCTCAACCTTGTGGTGCCACTGAGCTAAATCCCCACCCCACTGGGCATATAATTTTAATCTCATGTATTTATTTTTACTTAAAATTTTTTTTTTTTTTTTTACTTTTTTTTGGTACTGGGGATCAAACTCAGGATCTTGCGCTTGCAAAGCAGGTGGTGGAACCACTGAGCTAAATCCCTAGCCCTCTTGTGTATTTTTGATTGAAAACTTTTATGGACTGTAATTCTTTGCTAGTTATTTATGTTTTATATTGTTTTGTTTAGTTCATCTAGCTTTTTTTTTTTTCCTGGTACCAGGGATCAAACTCAGGACCTTGTGCTTGTGAGGCAGGTGCAGAACCACTGAGCTAAATCTCCGGCCCCATCTAGCTTTTTTTATTAGTGTCTACTGAAAGTTCCTGGATAACTTTGATTGTTATTCTCATTATTCACTTGGTTATATCTCCTGTGATCCCAATGAGTACCTCTTTAATCGACTTTCTAATCTGCATTCCCCTTTCAAGTAATTTGGGTGTGTGGTTTATGCTTGAATTCCCTTGGATTGGCCTCAGGGGAGTTGGGAGTTCAGGAACACATTTTGTTGCCTTGTATCATCATTTTCTTTTCTTTCTTCCTTGGGATCGAACTCTTGTTGTTGCACTTTTGAGGCAGGCGGTGGAACCACTGCACTAAATCCCCAATCCTTCTTATTTTCTACTCTGTGTGTATGTGTGTGTGTACGTTTTTGGATGTTAATAATGTAAAGACTTTGCTGCCAGTATAACGATGTCTTTTTTTTTTTTTTTTTTTTTTTTGTGCCGTTTTTTTTTTTGGTACCCGGGATTGAACTCCGGTCCTTGTGCTTGCAAGGCAGTCAGTGGCACCACTGAGCTAAATCCCCAGCCCCTCCTCATTGAGTTTATCAGTACATTTTAGGTATACAGTACAGTTACATTCATCATTGGGATCGTGTACCTTTACATGACAGGCCTTGGTTCTAATTTTTTCCCCTTATCCCTGCCCTCCCTTTACCCCCTCCTCCCTTCCCTACTTAGAAATACTTTATTTCCATTTTTTCATTTTCTCTCTTTTTTTCTTTTAGCAATGTCTTTAGTTAGTCACTTTTCTTTAGTGTACTTTGGGCATAGCTAACTAAGCCCGAAGATCTACCACCTCAGTTAATTTGGGAGGGGAGGATGCAGTGTAATTAGCCCAACACCAAGTTTTCTGGGAACGTGCTGTAGTATTGTTGACATCACAAAGGTAATCTGCCTGTTTGTTTACAGAGGAAACCCATTAATAGCAACATTTATATGACCCTGGTAACATCAAGTAAATCAGCTACATAGTATCATGTTCTATATACTGTGACAAATTGGATATTAACATACCATGAGAACGAATTATGTATCACCCTTAACCCCAGAGAAATTCAGTTACAGTATAAACACTGAAGTAACCCAGGTATTGACTCACAACTAATATGTACTAAATGAGACAGCTACATCTCTGCTAATGGTAGAAAAGAATTCAGCAGTAATTTTATAGAGTTAACTACCTGAAGATGAGTAAAGCTTTATGGTTATACCATTAAAGATTTGGGGATTGGGAACTGGGACTGAAAGAGGAAAAATTTGAAACCTTAAATTGTATGATATGAGGAGAGAGAAGTGGGACAAAGGATCCTATTGGGCATAGAAGAATGTTTGAAAGTTTAGGTAAAGTAAAGAGAAAAAAACTAATGAGAAATAGAAGATAAAATAAGAGTGGGGCAAAAAGAAACTATATGGGGAGTAAAAATAAGAAAAAGTTAAAGGGGAAAAAGTTAAAAGAAGAGGAAAAGTAAAGAGAAAGAGATTTAAAAAAAGACAAAGGAAAATTCTCCAAACCCCAATAAACTGGTGAAGAAGAAAAAAGAAAGGAATGAAGAAAAAGAAAAAAAAAAGACACAAAGAAAAGCAATTTCTCTGGGATTGTGAGTGTGTGGTTTTCTTCTGGGATGTACGGTGTTGGGGCAGTGACCAAGTGAAGATGTGTCCATACTCACGCTGGCACACAAGGGACGCAGTCAGCTCCCAGGTCTGTGCTAGGTGTAGGCACCAGCAGGCAGCTGGAGTAAGGAAAGTGCCATGACTTTGAAATCCAGAGCAACACAGGTGGGGCCTGGCCTCTGGCCCTGGGGGTGGGAACCGTGTCCTTTAGCTGAAACTCCTGGGGCAGGGGTCTCTCCAGCCTACTTCCTGACTGAGGCTGTCTCCCTTGGCTGTCTTGGAAACATAACAGTCAAGTTAGGGCTCAAATCGTCAACCCTTCCCTAGAATGGCATCTGACCGAGCATCCCCAGGACACAGTGGGTGCTGCGGGCTGGAGTCGCTCAGCAGTGGTTGTCTGGAAGGACCTGTGTAGGAGCAGAACCCTCGCCTTGCAGTTCACAGCCGGTCTGTTCTGCCACTGAGTTTCTCCCTGAAGCTTTTAGAGTCTTTAGCTTTCACTTTGTTTCTGTACACGTGGTCTCCCTTTCTGAAAGCCACAGGCCAGGAGCCAGGGAGGAAATGCAGACGGTCTCTTTCCTTCTTTGTGTTGTGTTCTGTCTCTTCAGTTTCTCTGTCCAATCCCTTGTTTCCTGGGGATCTCTCTTTTTTTCTTCTCTAAGGTATTATTTTCCAGCGTTTAGATTCTGAATCACAAAGAGGCTGAGTTGTCACTCACCACTCTGTGATTTTCTTTTCTGTTTTTAATGCTGTGAAGCTGGGAGCAGAAATAAAAGTGGAGGTGCCCACTCTACCCAACATCACAGAGCAGGTTTTCACTAGGGCATTGAGGCAAGGAAATGAAACCGGGCCTTCACTCTAAGCTACATCCCCAACTCTTTTTTCTTTTTTAATTTTAAGACAGGGTCTTGCAGTTCGTGAAATCTGTTTGTAGTCCTTTATGGCTCATTGCCAGGTTGGGCTCATATTCAAAATCCTCCTGCCTCAACCTCCCAGAGTGTTGGGATTACAGGCATGTGCCACCACACCCAAATGATGTTTAAGAATAATAATTAAGAATATAATTAAAATGTCTAGAGCTTATAAATTCAGCAAGATCGCATGATATCACTATACAAAAACCAACTGTATTTCTATAGACTTGCAGTGAATAATCTGAAATTAAAATTTTTAAAAATTCCATTTAAAATAGCATCAAAAATAGTAATAAACTGAAAAAAAGTATAAAACTTGTATTTTGAAAAATACAAAACTGTTGAATTAAATAAGACTCAAATAAATGAAAAAGTCTCTCTGTGACTCTGAAGAATTAGTATTGATTAGATGGCAGTACTCGTGAATTGTTTGTTTATTTATGGTTTTAAGATAAGCTCTCACTGTACAGTCCAGGCAGCACGCAAACTCAGCCTCCTGAGAACTGGGAGTACAGGTGTGCACCATCATGCCTGACATCTTGAATATGATCTGCAGATTTACTGTCACTTCTGTCACAGTGCCTTCTGGTTTCTTTGCACAAATTGAAAAAAAGCTTATCCGAAAAATTCATATGGAAATTCAGAGGCCCAGAATAACCAAAACAACCTTGAAAAAGAAGAACTTGGAAGATGCACATTTCCTGATTTCTAAACTTACTACAAAGCTAATAAGCTATGATGAGGATATGAAAGTAGATGTACAAATCAGTGAGAGAGAACTGAGAGTCTGGCATTATGATCACTTGACTTTTGAAAAGATGCTACAGTGATCAGTGGGGGAAAGAATTGTTTTTAATACACAGTGCTGGGACAGCAGATCTACATGGAAAAGAATGAGGCCAGAGTCACCCAAGCTCACGCCATACACTGGTTAACTCAGGTTAACTCAAAGACCCCTATGTAAGAACTACAAAACTTTTAAAAAGGAATCATGGGCATAAATCTTTATGACCTTGGATTAGGCAAGAATTTCCTAGGTATGACACCAAAAGCAAAGCAATAAAAAACCCCAAAACTTGGCTTTATAAAACTAAGCCTTTTGACCTTCATAGGATACCAGTAAAAAAGTAAAGACAGCCAGAATAGAAGATATTTACAAGTCCTATATCTGGTAAGGTTCTAGTATTCAAAATATATAGATTGTTACAACTATTATAATAGACAACTAACCAAATTAAAATGGGCAAAGAATCTGAGTGGACACATCGCTAAGAAGGTACACAAATGGCCACAACATGTGAGATGTCCAGCGGTATTAGACCTCAGAGAAGTGCAGATCAAAACCCAAGAGGGGCTTGGGATTTAGCTTAGTGGTTCCGCTGCCTGCTTTGCAAGTGCAAGGTCCCGAGTTTGATCCCCGTTACCAAAAACAAAAATACCCCCCCCCCACGACAGCATGTACCACCTCATTGGCTAAGATCTAAGGACAGGAACCAAGTGTTGGTGAGGCTGTGAGGAAACTGGAGCTGAAGAATGAGAAATGGCGCTGTTACTGCGGTGAACAGCTCGGTGAACAGACAGAGTTAGACCCAGCGATTCCACTCCTAGGTCTGTACCCAGGAGAAATGAAAACCTATGTGCACCCAGACACGTAAACGCACATGTTTATATCAGCATTATTCATACCGGTAAGAATGGAAACTGCCTGTCAGATCGAAGCGTGGATAAACAAAATGGTACCAATAAATGGCCTGTTCTGTGGCAGTAGAAAGAAGTGCGGATACACGCTACAACACAGATATGCCTGAAAAACATGCTAAGAAGCCAGGGAAGACTGTAGATTATATCCTTCCACTCCTACGAAGGTTCAGGGTAGGGAACTGATGTCGTAGTGGATGCTCAGGGCTGGGAAGGGGACGGAGCGGGGAATGGGAGTGGGGAGGTGACAGCCAAGGGATACAGGGTTGTTTTTGTTTGTTTGTTTGTTTGTTTTTTTTTGAGACAGTGTCTTACTATGTGGTTGAGACTGACCTGGAACTCACTATGTAGCCCAGGCTGGCCTCAAACTCAGAGCGATCCTCCTGCCTCAGCCTCCTGAATGCTGGGATTACAGGTGTGCGTCACCACGCCCGTCTTAGAGGGTTTCTTTGGAGGTTACAAAAGTTCTGAGAGTACTGCATGTGTCTGAATGCACTCAAAGCCATGCACTGGCTCCCCAATCCTGGGTGCAGCACTCGGTGGTGATATTTCTGAATGGGACCCCTGTGCCTCCCAGTGGCATCTCTGGTTTCTCATTCCTAAGCACGATGCTCAGTTTGGGAGTGTGGATGGCCATGGGACACCTAGGGTGACAGTCCTGACAGGAGCCTAGTTGACACTCAGCTCCCTGTTGTGCAGTCACATGGGTGGGGGGGTGCAGACATCATGGACAGCACAGGGCTGGCTCAAGTCCCATGGAACCTGGGGCCCCAGGACTACAGCCCCTTCCTGGCCCACCTGGCAGACTCGCCGCAGACATGGCAGACGTCAGCGACCCTGTCACATCCCTGTTGCATGGTGGACGGAGGGCTGGCAGCCTCCCCAAGTCCTGTGTCATTGTGACAACACCCTTGAGTCAAGTCCCTCTGGGGGCACCCCTGGGTCTGGGGGTTGTGTGGGCCCCAATGCCCACCTGGTGTCCCGCATGGCTGCACAAACTCCCCTCCCCACCCTACTCACCCGCGTGGGCTCCCTGCATCCTCACTGCGGTAGAGATGGAGGATCTCTGTGTGAAGTCCATAGAATTGCACAGGAAATGAAAACTGCTTTCCTGTGTGACTAAACAAAAGGGTTGGGGGTGTTGCTCAGCACGAGGCCCTGGGTGTGTCTCCAGTGCCACACAAACAAGAACAAACGATACTACATGACCGGGTGCACACCTGTAATCTGGCTACTTGGGAGGCTGAGGCAGGAGGACCACAAGTTGGAGGCTGCCCTGGGCAACTTAGAGACCCTGTCTCAGAATAAAAAGCCGGAAGGGCTGAGCTATAGTTGTAGAGTATTTGTCTCATATGCACGAGGCTCTGGGTTCAATCCTCCAGCAGTTAAACACAAGCATGAACTGAGGTAGATGCTGCTGCTTCAGCCTCTGGGCACCACCTGAATCACATGCTGCTTGACCAGGAGCCACATGGTTTTCCGCAGGATGCTGTGAAGTGCGTGCTACGTGGAGTTTTTCACCAGTGTCATCCTATTCTGTGTGGTCACAGCTTGTTCTTTCTCCTTTGGTCTGAACGTTCTTTGCAAAACTTAGGTTGAAGATTGACTGTGTTGTGGCTGAAAGGTGGGGCTTTCCTGAGCCGCCAGCACTGGGGACTGAATACACGGCCTCCCGCTGAGCTACACTCCTAGACCCTCTTTGTTTTGAGGCAGGGTGTAAGATGCCCAGAATGCCTCAAGCTTGTGATCTTTCTTCCTGCCTTAGTCCTCCAAAGTGCTGAGATTATAGGCAGGCACCATTCATTAGGCCAGGAGGGACTGAGACTCATGATAGGAGGGCCATTTAATGACAAAACAAGGCCAGGCAGGATGCCAGTGTGGGCTTGGACTCTTGGTGAGAAGTTCCTGGTCAGGTGAGCTGCCCATGCCCCTGTCTGTTACAGAAGCACAGATGCCCTGAGTTCCCGAGAAACTGCTACGAGTTGATGCTCTCCAGGCACCTATGATCTGGCAGGAAGCCAGTCTGAGGGCTGGGTGCTCAACACCCCACCCCCACAGTCTCAAGGGGACCGAAGTCTGGGTCACAGTCTGCCCCTTCGCTGAGGAACTGCTCTGTGCAGGAGCCAGCCAGGCACTGGGCACACAGGTCAGGTGCCCCATCCTGCCCAGGACATCCTGCATCCAGGCCCCACCCCTTCACTCCAGTCCATGCCCGCTTCTCTACTTTCTACACCACGTATGGGAGCCTTGGAAACCTAGGTCACTTCCCTGTCCCCATCTAAGCTGGGGCTGGAGTAGGCTCCAGGGTCCCTCAGCACTCTTAAAGCTGCCTGTCCTTTGGTTTCTGGGACCTCTCCTTGCCCCTCCATCCACTGGCTCTGTCACTGCTGCCAGGACCCCCATGGTGTGCCCACAGTATGCTCTTCCCTATCTCCCCAGACCCCAGGGAGCCTCTCTGGCAGGGTACCAGCTCTGCCTCAGGGTGTGCACTTAATTCTGACTTGCGATTGTTGTGGGTGCCGTGTCCCCACCTATACTGGAAGGAAGTCAGGCCAGGCTCTGGCTGCTGCGGAGCTCTTGGTAGCTGGCAGGAGCTGCCGCTGGCACCATGACAGAAGCTGCCAGCCAGGCGCTCTCAGCAGAGCCAGGGAATCAGCTCAGTCATTCTGGGCTGCAGGGATGAAATTAAAAGACTAACACCCTGGTGAGGGGCTATGGTCTCCTGTTTTTCTAGTTGCCCCGAGCAATACCTATGTGGCTCAGGCCAGGGCGCCATGGACAGCGGCTTGCCTGGGCTGAGGGTGGCCCACACACTGAAATGCTGCCAGCAGTCAGCCTGTCCTGGGTATGCCTGCCAGGGTCCTGGAGGAGGCAGACAGAAGAGGGGTCCACCTTGGAGAGGGGTTCGGGGAGGCTGTGGTCATGCCTGGACATCTGCCAAGGCCTGTCCAGATGTGCTGGCCTCTCTTGGCCCAGGCCCTGTCCCCTCCATAGGGTGTGGACCTGGCGCAGGCCTCACTGACTACTCAGGCTCCGGCAGCAGAATCCAGTGGGAGGAACGCAGGCGTTTTCTGCAAAATCTTCCTGAGGCTGGTGGGCAGAGAGCCTCCTCCTGGCAGACACGGGCAAGAGCAGAGAAGGCAGGGCAGCCCCTGGTCTGGTCTGGGAGGTGGCCATGTGTGTTCAGTGTGGTCCCCATCAGGTGTCCCTCACCTGGAGACTCAGGTTCCAGCTTCTCCCAAGAAACCATGAGCCCCGGCAACACAGGGCCCCCCATGAGGCTGCAGTGTAGGTGTGGGGCTGCTCACTCTCACTACCTGAGATCTCAGCCTAGGGTCCTGCAGCTGTGGGAACCACAAGCCCACTGAGCAACCACAGGCAGCCAGGTGCCTTCTGAGAGCGGCTAGAACAGTGCCCTGCCTGCAAGGAGCCACTGTCCAGAGGCAAATGTCAGACTTGGCCACAAGGAGCTGGCCTGCCTTCTGTTTACCAACAGGAAAGGCCCAGAGCCCACCCCTCTGCTGAATGCCTGGCCCTGGGCTGGTCCCAGAGGTGCTGGTCAGGGCACACTGTAACCCACTCGTGAAGCCAGGGCCGTATCAGGACACTGACACCCCAAGGCCACAGGCCATGCAGGGGCCAACTTTAATACATGGGTCGACCTGCTGGGGAGAAGGAAGACTCCCCGCTATTCCTGGTGTCCCTGTAGGTGTGGGGCTCTCTTGGGCCACTGCCCTCGTGCTGCTCACAGGCCAGGAGACACCAGTGAGATTGTCCAACAGAGCAAGTGCCATGTGCGAGGGGTCTTCCAGGCTCTGTGCCTCCTGTCCCGGGGATGTGGGACTCCCATGAGCACGTGATGGGGCCACACCTGCCAGAGCTGGGTCTTGCCGTCACCTTCAGGTGTCCTTCCTCAGCAAGGCCAAGCCATGGTGCACAGACCCACGGCGGCAGGGTGAGGCTGGGCCTCCTGTGGTCGTCGATCCAGCAGGGATGGCCTCTGGCCCACCTTCCCTGAATGACAGAAGCTTGAGTCTGGGTGCCGAGGCGGAGGTACTGGGAGGGTCAGCAAATGCAGGTTCCCAGGGGTTCTGCGCCCACCCTACTGGGAAACTGATGCCAGGCAAGGCGGGGAGCCTTTACCATCACCAGCTGATGGGAGCAACAAAGAAATGAAAGAGCACAAGGACCCCAAGGCCAGCTGGCACCTTTCCCTTGGGAGAGCACAGGCCACTGGGGGTGGGGGCAGCAGTGAACAGCACCAGGAGCAGCAGGTCCAGGCCGCGGCCATCGTGGAAACCACAGCCTCCACGAGCCAGGCTGCGCCAAGGGTTTGCACGTTGCCATCTGATCCAGAGATGAGAGCCAGACAGCCATGCCAGCACTCAGCCTGAACAGCGAGGGAGCCGCTTCTGAGCCTTCCTGGTGCGTGAGCCGCAGCTCTGCACAGCAGCACAATCCATGTGGGCTGCCAACCCAGGCTGCGGGCCGGTCCTGGGGAGCCCCTAAGTCCTGTGAGTGGTGCAGTTAGGAGGCTGCCACCAGGTCCGCCTGCCTGGACCTGACCTTGACAGGGGCTTTTTCTGTGGAGAAAAGAGGTAGGACTGTGACATCCAGAGGCCAAAGCAGACACTTCAGAGTAGGGTGGGCCATGCTGGGAGGGGCAGAGCTCCCCAGAGCTGCAGGGGAATGGAAGGAACCTGTACGAGCTGCCAAGGAGGGTCAGGTCCTGGGGAACTTTCCTAAGAGCCCGTGGCAAATACTGCCCACTGCCTCCATCAGCCTCCATTAGCGACTGATGCGGGCTGACGCTGGGAAGGAGCTGGTGCGCTCCACAAGTCTCTGCCCAGGTCAAATGTCAGGACGTCGCCCCTACTCCTAGGAGGCTGGGCCCCACATGAGGCCTCACGGCCGCACTCCACCAGGCTGGTCCTGGGTGCCCGTGCTCACCCACCCACTTCTGGGGAAGGTGCCAGCGTGCCTGTGCCGTGCTCCCTCCCAGGAACCATCATTCTGAGGATCCCAACAAAGACGAGAGAGTTGGGGTACCTGGATGCGTCTCTGGAAGGGGCTCTGAAGGAACCTCTGGGAGCTCTATTTGTTCCTGCAAGAAGCAAAGGCGAGGCTGTGAGGTGGTTGGTCGGCAGGTCACCACCAGCCTGCCTGGGCCCTGTCCTGAGTGGGGCCAAGAGTGGCTAGTCCTGTGTACCTAGCTGTTTGTGGTGGGACGACAGAGGAATGGAATAAGAACCCTCCCACTCAGAAGATCCCAACGAGGCACCTTCACTTGGGTCACCCTGGGGTCTCCGGGTGTGTTGCGATGGCCACCTCTTGGGGTGTCCTGAGACCCTGTGCCAGGATCACAGGTTTTGCTTTGTTTTGTTTTTGTTTTTTGGTACCGAGGATTGAACATGGGTCCTTGCACTTGTGAGGCAGGAGCAGAACCACTGAGCTAAATCCCTGGCCCCAGGATCACAAGTTTTACACAGGTACCCAGGTGGCACTGGTGCCCACAGGTCTAGGAAGACACTGCAGCCATCAGTCCTGAGGGTCCCGACCCTGGCTGGGTCTGGGAAGAGCTGTCCCAGTGAGTGGCGGGCAGCCTGCCAGCCTGGGGCTGTCTACCTCCAGACCCACCTGCCTAGGCAGGGCACCAGGCTCCTAGGCTCCAGCGGCAGGTGGTCACGGACTGAAAAGGTAACTTCCCAGTCAGACCTCCCATTGGGCTGAGGACAGTGGGAGCCTCTGGGGACCCAGGGCAGCCTTGGCAAATGAGGCAGGGCCCACAGATGGAGAACCCCTGTGCTGGGGCAACCACCGAGCTCAGAGCCTGGGTGTGGGGTAGGGCAGGATGCAGCATCAGAGCCGCCAGGGCCCAGCATGCACAGAACAGAGACACTGCAAGGAAAGAAAACCTGCTGACTAAAAGTCACGTCGGGAAGAAAGGGGCCGAGCAGGACAGGAAGACTCTGTGGATCAGTGGGTTGCAGCTGCTCCAACAGACCCTGGTGCCAGCCCCCAAACTGCTCCTACCTGAAAGGCCTCAGCCTAGCACAAACGCGAGCCACTTTGGGAAGGAGACCAGGGGCAAAACCAGTGCCCCGTGTGCTCAAATAAATCAGTGGCACACACCATAAGCAGGGGCCTGCTCGGGGCTCCCGGGCCCGATACCTGAGTGATCGCATTTAGCTCCTCCAGGATGGCGTCCTCATCCTCCTGTGTGAAGCTTCCGGCCAACAGCTCATCTATTTGCTGCAGAGGGAAGAGTGGCAGTGAACATGTGCCAGGCTGGGCCGAGGGAAAGGCGGCCCCTCCTGAAGCAGACAGCTGGTGGCTCTAGGTGCACCCTTGAGAGCAGCACCACCGTGGAGTGGGGCGGTCTGGCCCTCGAGGGCAGCTGGTCATAGGGTCACCGCGCTGGTGCTGGCACTGGCCAGCTGGTGGGGGGAGGCCTGTCCACACCTACCCTCTGGTACTCCACAGCCTCCTGCGTCTCGTCCAGGATCCGCTCCACTTCCTCGATGGACATCACCTAGAGTGGGCGATGTTTTGAAGCTGACATGTGGTACTATGCTACGGGGATGTGAGACCAGGCTTCACAGGTCTGAACCTCACTACCAGGCCCTACCCCAGCCTGTGCCAACCGTGACAATTACGGGCAAAGTGAGCCCAAAGTGGAGACTGTTCTCTGGGCGAGTGACTTGACTTCCTCTGAGTGGCACGTTCAAAGCAGCACCTCTGCCAGGCTGGTGCCCATGCCACCCACACCTAGTAAGGCGTTCAGAGAGGGCCAAAATGACCTCTGGAGCATCCTCGGCTCCTGACCAGCCCACTGGCTGGCCTGCTTGTCAGGAGCACGATGCGGGCACCCTGGGCTGAGCCCCATCTCCTCACAGGGCCAGGTCCAGGCTGCTTCCTGAGACAGGTGGGAACTCACTGTCTCCAGGAAGCCTCAGAGATGAGATCCTCACACTGCTCCCCTCCCCACCCTCCCTGTCACTCAGCCCCCGTGGAGCCAGCCCACCCCCGGGAGGTGCCACTCTCAGGTCCCTGAGCCCCAGACCGCCTGTCAGCCACTGTGCCACTCCCCAGCAGGCTGGACCCATGGCTGGGCACAGAGGGGCCTCAGACACGGAAGAGAAAGCCCAGACTCACCCTACCTGGCCCGGCGAGGACCCACCTGATGCATCTTGTTCAGACACTCGTTTCCCACCTGCAGCCCTTCCATCACCTTCATCTCAATCTGGGTGAACTCAATGCTCTGAACCTGCAAAGAACAGCCCAGTGGTCAGGAGCCCTGGCCGCCCTCTGACCAGGGTCTGCGGGGGTTAGGGTGGCCCTAGGTCTGTGCTCCCTCCCTGTCTCCTCCCCCTGCTCTTGCTTTCAGGGACGGTGAAGGCACCAGAGACACTAACAGGATTGGTGACTGCCAGCAGCTTGTGCCAGCAAGAGCAGAGCCACACTGTTCAGGCCCCAGCACCAGAGATGCTGACATCGACCCCTTCACCCCTGACCCAGGGTTGGCCCAGCTTCACCCCCGCAAGGGCCAACCTGTCCAGCCCCTAAGGCCTCAGGTTCCCGGTAATGGTTCCTGCCCTGCTCACCATGGCCTCCAGGCTGCTGATCTGGTTCTCCGTCCGGTCCAGGAGCTGCTCCCGGTACCGCTTCTTTTTGAGCAGCAGCTTGGCCCGTCTGTGGAGGAAGCCCACGGTTAGGGCGGTGGCCTCTGCTGCACCTGCCCACCCGCTCCAGGCCACGGCACATGCCCACTCACTCCTTCCTGCCGTCCCGCAGCAGCTGCCTCGCCAGGGCCCGCTCCCGCTCCAGCTGCTGTGTGACCCTCTTCTGGTACTGCCTCAGCTTGTCCCGCTGCTGCTTCAGTTGCTGCCGAGAGTGACCTGGTGTCAGTGCCCACTTGACTGAGTCTTTGCAGGCTGTCACACACCAGGCCGTGTGGCTGAGAGCTCACAAGGTTACCCTCAGGGGCCAGGCAGCCTCTAACAGTGTCCTCTACCTAGGGGCAGATCTGCCTTCTAGGAGACATGCAGCGATCCTGGGAAGTGTCTCCAGGTGCATGGTTGGGGGTGCTCCTCACATCCATCTCCCTGCAACTTCAAGGAGGTGAATCCCTCTCTAGTCAGTCACTGTGCAGCCTGAGCCACAGAAGAACAAGGCTGTGAGCAGTAGAAGCCCTCTGGGTTGGGTGGTGTAGCCACCAGTGCCTGGAAGATTCACATGCATTGGAGAAGAGGCAGCACCCGCATACACAGCCCACCTGGGGACGCCCCTCCCACTCTGAATTCATGCTTAGCTTCCCCTTGCACTGATACCCATCAACAAACACGCTGGATGGTATGTGTGAGTCACTAACCACCTCTCCATGCCACCCAAAAAGAATGCACCAGTGTTTGCCAGCTTTGGCCAATCCTTCCCAACTTAAGCCATTTCTTTTTTTCCAAATGCTACCATTTCAGATGACTTTTGGATGATTAGTTCCAGCCCAGGGCACTTCTCACACTCAGGATGATCTCTTTGGGGGAGATTACCGTAAGTGAACTAAATCAAGGTTCAGGCACCTTTAAAGCTTAGCTGGTAAGAAATCACACCCTGAAACCCACACGCACACAGTCTCTGAGGCTGTTTCCAGTCCTCTCTCCACTGAGTGTCCCTTACAGTCTGGCAGTGCCAGCGGCCAGTTCTCCCCTTGCTACGAGGTGCCCACTATTCTGCAGACAGTCTGTGGACTTCCTCCCCAGCTGTACTGGCAAAGCATTCCTGGGTTATTATCCATGCAACTACATAAGAAACTACAAGTCTGGCCTCCAGAAGGGATTGGAGAGGAGCCCAAGGGAGGCAAGATGGATAGGTTGCTTCTTTGTAAAGCAAAGGGTCTGAGCAGAGATCAGAGGCAGCAGACAGGGGCTGTACTTCCTTATGCCGGTTATCTCAGGAACATGTAACGCAACTGTGTCCCGAGCACCTAAAAGTCCACGGAACTATAGAACCCACCGAAGTGAACCCCTGTGAGAAAGCTTTATTTGGAGAAAAAAGTGAGGATGAGTCCTTAAAGAGAGGATAGGCCTGGGGCTACCTGCTCGCTAGCCAGAGACAGCAGAGGGTGGAGGCTGGACTCTGGGGAAAACCCTGACCCTCACGAGTGCTGCACCAGCTTCCTCTTAAGTACCAAAGTTTTGGCCACTTTAGTGACAAAACATGCCTATCGTTTCTTCTTCACCTGGGCGGATTTGGCCGTAACTTTTTGTGGGTATTTTTTGAGGCAGGGTCTCCCTTTGCAGTTCAGGCTGGCCCTGAACTCACAATGTTGCCCAGGCAGGCCTTGAACTGGCGCGATCCTCCCGCCTCAGTCTCCCTGAGATTACAGGAGTGTGACGCCACGCCCGGCTTGGCCACAACTTTTTATAACTTGAGCTCAGAAGCCAAGGTAAGAAAGCATTCTTCGGTTATATTCCTCTCTCTGTTACTACAAGAGTAATCTGTGTTCTTGTTGGCAAAAACTTAGGGAAGCATCAGAAGAGGCACAGTGTCAGGGGCAGCGCCTTCCTAACACGTTTTTCTATTCCCCGCTGGTCATTCTGCACACGTTTCCCCAATACATCATTTGGTCTCTTCCAAGACCCTAATTGCCCAGGAGCCCTGGGAACACCCTGCGCCTACAGGTAGGAACACCGTCCTGTCTGTCGGGGCGGGGACATCAGTCCGGCCGGCGTCCGCGGGCGGGGCGAGGGCACCGGGGG